ATGAACTAACAAAAGCAATTCTCTCTGAGTCCTGGTTACCAAACAGTTAAATAGAGCTGGTAATTCTTACTTTGCAAAGTTGTTATAAAGATTTCTAACTTTGTTTAAATTAATGAATTTAAATTAAGTAGAGCTTACTATATGCCACATACATTTCTTCTAAATGCTTTGCAAATATNAGGCGGTGGTCAGAGCCTGAAGGAGGTGGTTTGCTCAGGGTTGGGACACTCACCGGGGGTCTGGGGTCAGGCTGGCCCCCGGCCCCGGCTGCGGGGAACAGCTGCTCCAGTTCCTTCATGTCCACACATTTCTCGTCTCGGCCCAGCTGGTCCCGATCTCCCAGTCTGGCCCCATTCAGTGCCAGGACACCAGGGTCCCTCTGGCTCCGGGGGCCCTGAGGAGGGGACAGCTGGTTTTCGACATCCTTACACAAGAGGACCCTAAAGGGTGAGCCAAGAGTTAGGGAGAGGGACGTGGGAGGGAGGGAGAACAAAAGGATCGAGACAGTGAGCCCAGACTCTCCTCTCCCCCCGCAGCTCCTCCTTCTCCAGGCCTCCCTGCCCCAGGTCAGTCCAGCCCCCTCTCCCTGGCCCAGTGCCCACCTGCCCCTTTGGCCGAACAGGAGGAAGAGCACACAGAAGATGATGCAGGTCACCCCGATGTGGATGCCAATGACGATGCCTGTGGTGGACATCTGGTTGGTGGCTTCCTCCTTCCGGCAGTCACATGGTGGGCTCAGGGCTGTTGGGGGAGGTGGGTTGGGGGCTGTGGCTCTCCTGGTCTGAAGCGCTCTCAATTGGGTCTGAAGCAACCCAATCTCTGGGAGCTCCTTATCTCTGTACTGCTCCCACCCTCAAGTCCCCAGATCCTTTGTCCTTGCCTACGGGACCCCAGCCCAAACTTTTCAGTTCTTTTTACCAGTTATTGAACACTATGTGCCAGATACTGGGAATAACACTGTACATCCGCGACATAACTCTATAATGTGGGTATTATTATCCCTCTTCTATAGAGGAAACTGGGGCTTAGAAAGGTTAAGGAACTTGCCCGAGGTCACACAGCTTGGATGTGGCTGGATATCAGTGTGCCTGGCAAACCATAGAAGGTCAATAGCCTCTTTATTGTGGGGCAGGAAGGTTTTAGGCCCGGAGTCCTGCAAGGCAGGGGGCCCTGGAAGGCTCCCATGCTGGGCTCTTCTTGGTGCCTGAGACCTGGATGTGAAGGAGGAGCAGAAGGGAGTGAGTGAGGGGCGGGTGTGGGGGAAGGGTGGAAAGGAGTAAGGACAGGAGGGCCCGAGGGGTTAAGAGGAGGCAGTAAAGCACTCCAGACAGTGACGTGGGGGGTCATGAGCCTGAGACAGCCATTCTAGCGCCTCTCCTAAGACAGGGAAGGACTCCAGGCAATTTCCCCTTATGTAACCATGAACTTCCTGTGACGTGCCTTGGCTTTTTAAAGATCCTGGCGGAGCCAAAGCAGAACTAATTGTCCATCAGAGAGGAGGGGAGGAGAGCCATTGGGCCAACAAGAGGCTTCCTTTGTGAGCCTCCCTCACTCCCTCTGCCTCCTGGCCACGCAGATCATCTTCCAGGACCTCCTCTGTCGGGCTTCCCTGGTGACTCAGAGCACCAGCCTTGCAGCTCTACAGTCCTGGGTCTGCCACTTACAGGGCGTGTGATCTTGGGCAGTCACTTCACCTCAGTTTCTCCATCTGTGTAATGGGCGACGGTGATACCTCCTCTGAGGGCGGTGTGAAGATTAAATGATGCGACCTACATAAAGTGCTTAGCTAAACCCTCAGCTCAATGCACGGCCGCTGTAGTTACCACTCGAGGTGTTGCATAGCTCTCACCCACCTGTAGATACACAGGCACCTACGGTGCACAGCTCTTTAAAGCTTACAAAGCCCTTTTGCCTCTCAGCTCTTGCATTTTGTCCTCACAGCAGCCGGTGAGGTAGAGCAGGGGTAGTGACCTCACGTCACACGTATGGAAACTGAGGCTCAGAGGGGGAAATGAGAGACTTGCCTGAAGCCACACAGCCTGTCAGATGTGGAATGAGGGTCTAAATGGGGAGTTTCTAACCCAAACCCCTCGATCATTCCTCCTAATCTGTGGATAATAGCACTGACCCAGAAGCCCCTGGCCCCCAGCTCTGCCCTGTGCTGGACTGTGCGCCCACACTGCACAGGTGCTGCTCCAGGGCAGGTGCTCCACCACGCTGGGCCTTGGTTTTCTCGTTGGTCATGTGGGGACAGCACCCTCATCTTCGGCAGCTGGAAGGTTCAGTGGAACGTGGTGTGGAAGGGCCTGGGGCCAGGTAGCCCCATGAAGGATCCCATCCCATCCCATCCCATCCCATCCCATCCCATCCCATCCCATCCCATCCCATCCCGTCCTCACTTCCTTCCTATTGGCCCTTCTGGTCTCCTGGGAGGTCATTCTTGGGTATGGCCTTCACACCCCAACCTTTGGGGACAGAGATGGGGAGAATGGCTGTGAGAGAAAAATAGAGACTCAGAGATGGTGGGAGGAGAGGGGGTATAGCTCCCTTCTCCAGGCAAAATCCAAGCCCTGGGGCTGGCCCAGGGCTCCCAGGGTTGGGAGGAGCCAGCAAGACCCCATGGGCCTCCTCCTGCTGTCCCAGGGATTCCACCCCAGCCCACCAGCCTTCCCTTGGTCAGGGAGTGTCTCTTCCTGCCTCCCCTGCATCTGACTTTCTACCTCTCTCCGTGACCCTTCATCTCTCTCCGTGACCCTTCACCTCTCTCCGTGACCCTTCACCTCTCTCCTGTTGTTCCCCCTCTGTGTTCCCACCGCTTTCTCCTTCTCATCATCTAGGGCCCCACCCTCACCCCCCACACACCCCTCACACTGTGCTGACCCCTGTGGCTTCCATCAGGCCCCGCAGAGGAAGTCTGGGATTCGACAAGCACGTTTCGCACCAGGCAGACAGAGAGGGGGGTGCTCCCTGTGGGTTCCTACCTCCAAGATCTGTCACCAGGACCACACTCACAGGGAGATCCCCAGGTCCCCAGGGCTCTAGTTAATGGAGAGATGTGGCTCCCTTGGGCCCAGCCAGAACCCCCTGGTGGCAGCCTCCCTGCTCCTGTCCTCTGCCTCACCCCCTTTCAACCACCCAGACCTTTGTGGAAAAGGGAGGCATTAGGCAGCCCCCTGCAGCAGGGAAGAGAGACCAGAGTGGCAGGGGTTTGTGTGAGGGTGCGGGAAGAGAGGTGGCTGTTGGGGTGGGTGGAGCGGTGGGGATGAACATTTCAGAGGTGAGTGATCTGAGAGACAGCAAGTCCCAGCTTTTGTCACAGTAATAGCAACAGTCTTATGGACGGTTCAGGTGATGCTGTGACTGCCCTGCCCGCATCCTGTGACATTCACATTCCCACTCAGGCAGACAGCTGTGCCGACCACCCCGGACCACAATCCCATTCACGGGTAGGTTGGAAAGGCCCAGGAGCGATGCCCTCAGCAGCCTTCACCCAAGACAGTGACAACTGGTGGACAAACACTCCACTTCCTCACCCCTCAGTGGAACAACTGGGGTTGTAGTCTGCACCGGCTCTGGAGGTGCCTGTGGGGGTTGAGCCTTGTTTGCCCACCATGGCAAGCTGCTCATTCCCACACCCTGAACTGGCTTCTCATCCTGAACCTTTCTGTTCCTGCCAATCAAGCCCCACAGGTAAGCAGATCCCTCATGCTGGGCTATTCCTGATGCTCTTTGCTGAACACCTTCCAGGTGGCCTCCCACGCTGGCAACCAAGGGTTCCCTGGGGACCTCCTGACAAAAGGACGGGCCAGAGGCAACACGTGGTCTGGCAGATGGACCTCAGAGTTCCTCTGAGGTAAATAAAAATCCTACTCGCTCCTAAGCACTGAGCCAGCACTGGCTAAGACTTCCCACACTTTATCTCATCTAAGGCTCACGGCCACCTGCAGGCTATTGCATTACTCCTGTTTCAGTCAGGAGGCCGGGCCTCAGAGAGGCTGGGTGACTTCCCCAGGCTCCCACAGCCTGGCAGTCGGTGGGAGAGCCGGGGTTCAGAGGCCGTCTGTCTAACCGGAGCCCAGGCTCCTCACTGGGAGGTAGGAATGTGCCACGTTTACCCCAGATGCCTGGTGCCTGGTGCAGGCTCTGAGCAGAGGAGCTTAGAAATGAGCGTTGGGCTGAACTGAACCAAATCGGGCTCCTGGAGAAAATAGAAAGATCCTGTTTCCTGTTGGACACCAGGCCAGGGAGGGCATTTCTGCAGCTTAGCTCCGAGCACAGGGTCCGGCACATAGGGATGTTCAAGCAAGGTTTATGAGTCAATAAAGGAGCAAACATTTAATATTCTTGGCCAGAATTTACACTGTGGCCCTATCCAAGATTGTGTTAGGGCTTGCACAATATGATTATCCCATTGTTATTCCTGCTGCATTCTTCCATGAAAAAGACTTCTCCCTTGTCAGCTGTCCACTATCACCTCCTTTGATCTCCCTCTGAGCTACTCTAAGCCTGAGGGATGCTTGTCTCACTTGTCGCACTAAATAGAGGTTCCCTTCAGTCTCCCCATGAATGGGGATGGGAAAAACTTGTAGCAAGTGCCCACTATGTGCTTCAGCTTATGTTACCACATTTCATTTCCATAACAACTCTATTGTCAGGGCTGAATGGTCCCACTAGACAGATTAGTAAGACTGAGACCCAGAGGAATTAGATGACTTGTTCCAGGTCACCTGACAAGTTAGAGGCTGTCCTGCGATGGATCCCAGACCTATCTAGCCCCAGACTCATGCCCTTTCTCCACCACCAAATTCCCTTCCAGCCCCAGCTTGCTTCCATTCCTGATGCAGTGTGGCCTGTACAGATCTCAGAACGTGTAAACTGGGTGACACTAGATCCGTCACCTTAGGGTGGAGTGAAGGAAGCACCTGGGGATCAGTTTACTAATTCGATGGGCTGATGAATTATTCATACTACCATTAACTTGGAGGCCCTTTCAGCCTCACCTCACTTTCCCCTGCTCCAGACCCTCAAGTCCTGGCCCGCCTGGCCTGCAGACTTGCGGGGGCCCCCGGGGAGGAGATGCTGGCAGAGCTGGGGGCCTGTTTGCTGCTGGCAGTGGCACTGCTGGGCCCAGGCCCCAGGGCCCGAGCCATGAAAGGTAGGAGCTCCGGGCGACAGGCAGGAACGGGAAGGAGGCAGAGAGGAGTGGGCCGGCAGCAGCAGGGGTCTCAGGGGGTTTCTGTGTGGGAGGCCAGAAGGCAGGAGGCCCTTTTGGGAAGTCGGCCGAGTCGAGGATGTGTTTGCTTCTGAGATGGGGAAGACAGTATTTACTGAGTGCCGGCTATGTGCTGGATGCTTTATGTCTATGATTGCATTTAATCTTCACAACAAACTTCAAGGTGGGTATTAGCCCCCCACTTTACAGATGAGGAAACTGAGGGCAAGAGAGGTTAAGCAGCCTCTTCAAGGCTGCATGGTTGCCAAGGGCAAAGGAAAGGCTCAGAGAAATATTACAGGTTTGTTGCTGGAAGGAGTCTTCATTCTGCCCCTGAGAGCCTGCTGTAGGTCCCACAGCCAGCCAAGTGAAATCAAAGTTCCTTATTATGGTTTTCAGCTCCCTCAGCATTGGCTCCAATTTCCATATAATATCCAGCCTCCCGTTCCTGTGGCCCCAGGGCATTCTGTGCTCTGACAGAGGGTCACACCCCCTTCTAGAGAGTTTTCACTCTATGGCTTTCACCCACAGGCTCCTCTGCCTGGAGGGTCCCTTTGGTCTTTTTCCACCTGAGAACAGTTGGTGCATCCATCAAACTAAGGTCAAATACCACCTCCTCCAGGAAGCTTTCCATGTCCCTTCATCATCCTCAGATACACCCTCCTTGGAGCTCCCAGAATCCTCTGCCAGCACCCTGGTCCCAGGCCACTCAGTACTGCTATAGCCCTTTGAGCTGAGTGCCGTGTGCATGTCTGTGAAGTGAAGGCAATATCATTCCACCTTTAAGGGGCGTGCATGCAGTCGGGGCTCAGCCAACAGCCATCAGTGCCTCATTTTTCTGTAGCCTCTGGGCCGGGGTTCTCCTCCAGGTCTGCAGCAGGACTCTGGCCTGACCAAGAGCACAGGTCCACCTTGCAGGCCAGTCACTGTGGTGATGAGAGCCTCAGGATTGCCTAGCTGGGTCATGTGTCAACCCCTGTGGCAGGGGTGTTACCACATGGAGGCAGGGGAGCCAGTATCTAAAAGAGGGGGCATGTTGTTGCAAGAGGTGGAGAAATGGGTACTGGGCAGACCAAAACAATAGATGACGACTACAGTAAGTAACTTCCTTTTCTGGGCCTCAGTTTTCTCACCTGTAAAATGGAGTCAATAACACCTGCTTTGTCTATTTTATGGTGCTCTTGTGAGGATGATGTAAGATCATTCACTCATTCAGTACATTATCAACATTCTGCCTGTCTTGTTTCTTCTATCCTACCCTACGTCCATTTTGGGGGTCTGGGCAAATTTAAGGCCAATCTCAGATATATTATTTTACCATAAATATTTCATAATATATCTCTAACAGAGAAAGTGTTCCCCTGGCAAACACTTTTCTACTCTGTTTCTATAAGGTTGCCTTTTTTTTAGATTCCACATATAAGTGATAACATGCAGTATTTGTCTTTCTCTTTCTGACTTATTTCACTTAGTATGATGTCCTCAAGGTCCATTCATATTGCTGCAAATGAGAGAATGGTCTACTTTTAATTCCATTGTGTGTGTGTATGTGTAGCTATATTCATACATTACACCTTCTTTATCCGTTCATCTGTTGATGGACACTTTGGGTGTTTCCATATCTCGGTTATTAGAAATAATGCTGCAATAAACATAGAAGTGCAGATAATTCTTCAATATCCTGTTTTCATTTCCTTTGGATATATACCCAGAAGTGGGATTGCTGGATCATATGGTAGTTCTGCTTTTAATTTTTTTGAGGAGCCTCCATACTGTTTGCATGGCCGCTGCACCATTTTACTCTCACCAACGGCGCACTAAGGTTTCGTCTTCACATCCTCACCAACACTTGACCAGCACTTGTCTCGTCTTTTTTATAATGGCCTTTCTAACAGGTGCGAGGCGATATCTCCCTGTGGTTTTGATTTGCATTTCCCCGAAGATTGGTGATGCGGAGCACCTTTCCATGCTCCTGTTGGCCATCCGTACGTCTTCTCTGGAAAATGTCTATTCAGTTTCTCTGCCCATTTTCAATTAGATTATGTTTTCTATTTTATTTTGTTATTGAGTTGTATGAATTTTTTTTTTTTAATATGTCTTTATTGATTTCAGAGAGAGGAAAGGAGAGGGAGAGAGGGAGATAGAAACATCAATGATGAGAGAGTCGTTGATCGAGCCCGCAACCCTGGCACGTGCCCTGACTGGGAATCGAACCTCGATCACCTGGATCCCCAGGTCCACGCTCAACTGCTGAGCCACGCCCGGCCGGGCTTGCTTTTTTTTGTTTTGTGTTTTTTTTTAAGTTGAATTCTTTATATATTTTGGATAGTCAACCCTTAACAGAATTATGATTTGCAAATATTTTCACCGATTCCATAGGTTGCCTTTTCATTTTATTGCCTAAGAAAATAACTTTTTTGTTTGGTATTTTTTAAATATAAAAATTTTCAAATACTTAGCAAAGTTGAAAGAATTTTATAGGGAATACCTATCTACCCAGCCACCTAAGTTTTACCTTACTTACCCTTTAACTCAGGGATTAGAACATACACCAAAGATGATTATTTCTTTCAGGTTTGCTAAATTGGATTTTCCTAATGCGGCTATTCTGTCTGCAGTCACCTATGAATAACAATTTCCCTTCATCAGCTCTTTGCTTATCCTGAAATACAGTCTGCAACGGGAAAGGCAAAGTAGATGCTCAGTTCTTTCTACATATTAACTTTCAAAAAACTGAATTTGTGTCCCAATGAGTTTCTGTTTATCCCTTTGGAGTTGCATTATGAATTCCTCAGTGTTTCTGTATTTAATGTGTTCCAATCCACTGCAATCGTTATACTCTTTTGATGCTCAAATTGTACCTTGTTCAGCCAGTAGAAGCCCCTTCAGGTAGGTCCCCGTGTCTTCTGGCACAATCCCAACAGTCTTCGGTGGCTTTTTTGCTTTCTGGTGTGACAAGATGTCTCAAGTGTATTTTGTATATTTCCTGTCCTAAACCCACCATTTCTCTCAGGAGCCATGGTTCATTTTAGTTGGACATAATAATCCTAATCTAAGGCCTAGGTGCAAAATCCTACTGTAATATCGTTACTTTTAGGACTTTTTAGCGAACAGAACTAGGAAATTATTTTTTTAGGAATAAAAAAATACTGATGTTTTCAATTCAAATTAAGGATCACAAGGGTTTTACTTAATTTTTATATTTTATATTTGTATCACCCTTCAGCTACACTGAAAACCTTAGTTTCTATCAATATCAACATACTTGCTTTATTTCAATATATAAAATACAGTAACAGTATTTACTATTATTACTAATAGTCCATTACCAAATATACTTTAAGGTTTACTTGTGGTTTATTTTGTCCTTGGGACATATTCCACCAGGAATGTACAGGCAACACAGTGTCTTTCAAAGTCATTTGAAACAATTTTTCTCCATGGGAATGTGCCTCCAGCTGGATATTTTTTTCAGTTTGAGATATTTAAGGATTACTGTACTTAAATTTTTTTGATAATTTAAAATTACATTAAATTATTCATAATTATAAAGTCAAAATTATAAAACAAGTTGAATTTAAAGAGGTCCACGGTCATGACTGTTTCCCCCCAGTTGCTCCTTCCCCTGACAGCGAATCATTTTTATTCATTTTCTTCCATTGTTTTCTTTTTTAAACTATAAGCAGATATGTACATATGAGAATATATTCTTAATATTATAATAGATTGTGCACATTTTCACTTAGGGTGAGGATGAGGGGTTATTATTTCTTTAAATTTTAAAATTCCCTCCTGCACATGTCCAGGGCCTGACACATGGCACTATTTTATCTAAAATTATAGGCTCACCCTGACACCCTGTCTCCTTCCCCTGCTTTTTCTCCATAGTATTTATAACTACTTAATATGCTCTATATTTTACTTATTATGTTTATTGTCTGCCTTTACCATCAAAATGTAAATTCCATGAGGGCAGGAATTTTCATGTTTTGTTCCTGCCATAGCCCAGCACCTAGAACAATGCCTAGCACTCAAACGATACTTGTTGAATGAATGAAATAATGCTTGATAAATACTCAAAGAAGTAAATAAATGAACAGCTACATGCATAAATGAATTTAGAACCATGGCCTCACGCTCCCTCATCCCATCTCAAAGACCCAGCTTTGTAGCTGGGCCCACCACCCAAGCCCCCAGTGCTGACTCTAGGCCATCCTCCCCTCTTGCTCCAGGTGTCAAATGTGGGGGGGTGCTTTCAGCACCTTCTGGAAATTTCTCCAGCCCCAACTTCCCCAGGCTCTATCCCTACAACACGGAGTGCAGCTGGCTGATCGTGGTGGCCGAGGGCTCCTCGGTGCTGCTCACCTTCCACGCCTTCGACCTGGAGTACCACGACGCCTGCGCCTTCGACTTCCTGGAGATCTACAACGGGGCCGCGGCGGACCAGGGCAACCTGCTGGGGCGCTTCTGCGGCCAGGTGCCGCCGCCCCCCTTCACCTCCTCCTGGCACGTCATGTCTGTCATCTTCCGCTCGGACAAGCACGTGGCCAGCCGCGGCTTTTCCGCAGGCTATCAGAAAGGCAAGGGGCCTGGCGGCGGACAGGGTGGGCCTGGGGGAGGGAGGGGAGGGCAGCGGGGCGGAGCTGAGGCCTGCAGGGGCTCCCACAGCGCGTGGGGCGAAGGCAGCTGTCTTGGTAGCTGCGGGTTTCCATCTTCATGGCGACAGTCTCCACGTCTCCCTCCACTGTTCCTGGGAGCCCCGAGTCTCACTGTGCTCAGGAAAAAGGCCTCGAATCCTCTTCTGCTCTTACCCTTCTTATCCCTGCCCTGGCATCGGGACACAGGAGGGGACGCCATGCTGCCACTGCTGCTGATCCTCTGTGGCATCCCGTTACTTTATGGGCTCATGACCCCCCCCAGGTCCTCTGGGTGGGAAGGGCACAAGGGTCTGTGTGGAGCTGGTGACGCTCTCCCTCCCAAAGCCTTTCCTGAACTCGTCTGTTGTATCTGGGGTCCTTAACCCCCCCTCCTTCAACCAGGCTGGCAGCCTCCTCCCCAGTCTAGTGGGGGAAGCAGAGGCCCTGCTCTCCTTGCCTTTCTCCTTAACTCATTCCTTCTGTCCTAGGCTCCTCAGCACAAACTCAAACCTCCTGTCTTCTCCCAAGGCCAAAGCCAAAGGCCTTCTTCATGGTAGCTCAAGTAATAGACCAGCCCGAGGCTCCCGGCACACGGTCCACCAGTAGCCATGGGGCAACACTCTGGAGTCTCAGGAAATACACCTGAGTGTGCCGCTCCCAGCAGGTAGCCTCTGGCTAGTCCCAGCAATTCGTCATCAACCACCTCCTGGTTGTATCGGTCACACAGGCTTCCGAACGGGTTTCACCAGCATCTTCTCAGACGGCACGAGTCTGAGCCCAGTGGACCAGGCTGGGCAGGCCTTATGGTTTCTAATATTCCCATGAGGCTCAGAGAGCCTGAGTGACTTGCCCAGGGTTACACAGCTAATGTAAGGCAGAGTTGGGAGGACACTCATCTTTAGACTTCAAGCCCATCTCTACTTACTCAGATCCTCTCTCTAAGCCTGTTTCCTCACCTGTTAGGGAGGTTTAATAACATTTCTGAACTCAGGCACCTCAGCCTCTGTACCCCGCTGGCCTGGTAGGAGGGGACAGTGAGCGTCACAAGGTCAAGTGCACAGCCTCCTCAGTCAGACCCTGTTTTCCATGATACCAGCGGAGTGACCTGCTGCCAGGGCCCTGCCCGTGTCCCTTGGGCCCTGCCACTTCAAAGGCTCCTGCCAACCTCCTCATCTCTGTTCGAGGGCTTTATCTGAAGTTCGCCGGTCTCCTCTATGCCCACCAGCCCTCAGCCTGGACTCTTGGGAACTGGTGTGTGAATGCCCAGCTTCCTTGATCTTAGGTGACATAAGTCTGAGGTGTGTACTTTACACCATTCCCCAGAGCCCCCTGCAGGGCTCCACAGCTGGTTTGGCAATGCCTTTCAGTGGCTCTCCCCTTCTTTTAGTGGCCTTCACTCCCTCACTCCCCACACCGGACCCCTGCATCTCTCACATAAACTCATTGTGCTCAGACCCTCATCTCAGAGTCCAGGTGAGCCCAAGCTCACACAGGTAAGTTACTTAGCTTCTCTGGGCCTCCATTTTCTTGACTGTAAAATGGGAAGACCACCACACGTCCCTCATAGGGTTATGGTAACGGGTTTAAAAGATGGTGCAGGTGCTAAGCACCTGGCCTGGGACTGCCACTTGGCAAATGCTCAGTGGATGGCGACGAGGTTCCCATGAGATGCCTGTAGGAGTGGCACATTGGGGGGTGTTTGGTTCCCATGGGAGGGGATCTCAGAGTCACGGGAAAGGAGAAAGGTTGGTTCAACCGGGCTCCCTTACAGATGTATGCGGTGGTGTCCTGACGGGCCTGTCAGGGGTCCTCACCAGCCCTGAGTACCCGAACAATTACCCCAACAATGTGGAGTGCCACTGGGTGATCCGGGCCGTCGGCTCCGCAACCATCAAGCTGGTGTTCGTGGACTTCCAGGTGGAGGGCAGTGAGGAGTGCGCCTATGACTATGTGGCTGTGCTTGGAGGCCCTGGCCCCGCCCGTGGGCACCACTACTGTGGCAGCTCCAGGCCCTCCAACCTTGTGTCACTGGGCCATGAGCTGCAGGTGGTCTTCAAGTCGGACTTTAACATCGGAGGCCGGGGCTTCAAGGCCTACTACTTCTCAGGTAGGAGGAACAGAAGTTCCACCCCTGGCCCCTGTGCGTGCTGGGCTCCTGCCTCCCTGGGATGCTTGTGGGGAGAGAGGGCACACGTTCCTGCCTCTGGGCTTTGCACTTTCTGCTCTCTCTCTGCCTGGAATGCTCCAGCACACCCCCTGCCTGGCCAATGCCAAGGCATAAGCATGTCACCTCCTCTGTGAAGCCTTCCTGATTCACTCAGAATTCATCCCTTCCTTCAATTCCTTACAGAAGCTTTTTCAAAGCAGTGATCTAACAATCACTCCTATGTGTGGTTTGCATGTCGATCGCCCCCCGCCTGACCGTGAGTTCCTATAGGCTTATTGCTGTACCTGCCCTGTAATAGGCACTTAATGTTTGTACAAGTGAATGAATGAGCTCTTGGGGTGTGCACTATCTATAGGAGGTGATGGGAAAGGAAACAATGACAACTCACTGTGACCTATGCTATGTGACAGTAAGAATCATGGATGACATCCTGGAAGAGGAGAGAATTAGGCAATGCTTTGAATGAGTTAGTCATAGGCAGAAGGAAGGGAAGGATGTTCCAAGCAGAGGGATCTGCATGTGCAAAGGCATGGAGGACAGAGAGGGTTGGGTATGCTTGTAGAACTAGGAGATGCTTGATGAGGCTGGAAGGTAGGGGTGGGTGAGGGGCAGTGAGAAAGGGGGCAAGGTCAGGTCCTGAACCACAGTGTCAAGTCCAAGTTTGACCTCAACTCTGAGGACAGGTATTAGGCACTGTTTTTGAATTTTGAACAGCCACCATTCATGAAGGGGAGCGCCAATGAGAGTCCCAGCTTTCAGCTAGTTTCAGGTTAAAGCAGGCTTTGGGATCAACTGTCTGGTTTTTGGGCCATGGTGCCCACAACCTGCCAGGGTGGTGCTACAACCACTATAGCAACTGTTACCCAACTGTAGCTGCAGAAAACGACAGTCTCCACCCTTCAAATCATTGCTCCTTCCACCCACCCTTCCCCAGGAGAATGCCAGGAGGTGTACACAGCCGTGCAGGGCAACTTCTCCAGCCCACAGTACCCCAGCTCCTACCCCAACAACATCCGATGCCACTGGACCATCCGCCTGCCTCTTGGCTACCGGGTCAAGGTGTTCTTCCTGGACCTGGAGCTGGAAGAGCCCAACAGCCTGACCAAGACCTGTGACTTTGACCATCTGGCGGCCTTCGATGGGGCCAGTGAGGAGGCGCCCCTGCTGGGGAACTGGTGTGGTCGTCACCTGCCACCACCGGTCATCTCAAGCCACAACCAGCTCCTGCTCCTGCTACACACAGATCGCAGCACCACCCGCAGGGGCTTCTCTGTGGCCTACATTGGAGGTCAGCTGGGGCTGAGGGGGAGGGTGTGCTGGAGGGGGAAGGTGAGGCTGGGGTCCCAGGTCTTTCCATCCCATGAACTGCTCTCCCACCCTCTCCCCTGGTGGCTCCACCAACACCGACTCCTCCTCTGGGACCTTTGAGACTGTACCGTGTGGCCCCTGCTTATTTCCACTATTGCAGGCACCTACTTTTCCAGCTTCCAGCTCTGCAATCCCTAATCCCTCCTCATCTGGCTTTTCCCCGCATGGGCCCCTGGCCTCTCTTATACTATACATCTTTCCAGGGGTCATATGCAAATATGGTAATATTATTTATGGTAAACAATTGGTATAACCACGTAGATGGAAGCCAGCCTTGCTTGTGTCACAAATCCTGACTGGCAGTGGTGTGAACAAATGGCTTTTGTTTTCCTCACGTAACAAGAAGTCTGGAGCTAGGCAGCTTCTGTGTTGTTGGTTCAGGGGCTCAACCCTGTCCCAGCTCGTATCGCTGGGATTCTCTTAAGCTCATTACTGCAAAATGGCTGCCACAGCTCCAGGCATCATGTCCATGTTCAAGTATGGAAGGGGGTAGGAGGGGTGCCAGCCACAAATGTCCTTTTATCAGAAAAGCAAAAGCATTTTCAGAAGCCATCAAGAGATTTTTTTTCCTGGTCTCATTGGTTTGAACTTGGTCAGGTGGCCGTTCCTACCTGCAGAGCAGGCTGGGAAAATTGCTACTCAACTTTTCCAGCCTCCAGAATGCCAGTTAGATTTGCCAGCCAACAGTGTTCATCGTCTCTCCATCTTCTTACCACGTTTCCCTGGACCGTGGGTCCAGAAATAGCTGTGTTCTGGGTCCACTTTGCCCTCTGCCTGACCAGGCTGGAGCTCTCTGTTGTGCGGGTATGGAATCAAAGGTGCAGGGAGAGGACAGGACTTCACTGGAGTCACATGGGCAGTGGGTGGCACAGCCAAGGCTAGAACTCACTCCCCTCCCTCCTTGTGTGGCTGAGCAGGGCCCTGGGAGAGGGGGCCCAGGGCTGAGCTCAGATAGACCAGGGTCACATCCAAATGCTGCCATTTGTGACCATTCATCTGGGCTCATCTGTAAAAGGGGTTGATGAATGCCCTAGACAGGCAGTCATTAAGATGAAATGCGGTGACACAGGTCACAGTGCCTGGCTCTGAGGACATCCTTGATGAGGGTGGATTTCTTTCTCTCATGTGCCTCAGGCCTGTTCTGCATTCGAAAGATCTTCCCTCTCTCCTTACCTCATGTGCAAGAGGAGTTGGGTGCCCCAGCAATGGGGAAAGAAAGAGCAGAGCTGCAGCGAGCTAGCGGCAGAGAAGTGATGTGGGCAGACCCACCCTCTCTGGGCCTCAGTCAGCTCCATCCCTAAACTGGGAGAGGAGAACTGTCCCTGGGTTGGAGGGATCCCTTTCTCAGGCTGCACTTTGGAGAGCCATGTGCCATGGGGTGCTGCCACAGCTAGCTGGCAAGTTGCTTTCTCTCTGCAGGCCTCAGTTTTTCCACCTGTAAAATGAAGACATTGGCTGAAGGATCTTTAAAGTCTCTTTTGGCTCCCATAGTCTTAGTTCTTGGCCTGGGTCCTCTCCCAGCCCTGTGGGCTCTCGGACAAGCCCCTTCTCCTTTTGGTGCCCCCAGAGACTGAGGGTGGGGCAGCTGTAATCCTGGTTCCTGTTCAGGGGCAGGAGCCCCCACTCCCACCCTACCCCCACCTCCCTCTCCAGGTCCCTGTGGGAGCCCAGGGTCAGACAGGGGCACTCATGCTGGGCGAGGTGCCAGATGTGGCCCAGGCTACAGGCGGCCTCCTGGCTGGAGGACAGCCTCAGCATCAATCAGAGGTGACACACAGTTCAGCGCCACCGAGATCATCGTGGGAGACGGCGGGCCCATAAATCCCCAGCTGCCCAGACACCAGCGGTTGAAATATGTCTGAGGCATTTCCCGAGGAGGCGTTGAGAGTTCCAGGCCTCTGCCTGCCAGCTCTTTCCTTTTCCTCCCACCAGTCGCCCCCCTTCCTTCCCCCTATAATCACCCCTGCCCCAGTAAGCACTGCCCTCCCACACATGTGTGCACACATGCATGCACACACATGCATGCACACACATGCACACGCACATACATGCACACGCACATACATGCACACACACTTGAACAGACCCTACACTTGAGTCACAATGTGGCCCGGAGGGAGCAGGGGCTCCAGGTAGGGTGAAGAGATCGGATCTCTGGAGTCCTGTAGACTTTAATGGTAAAATCACAACTAAACCACTGCAAACAACTTCACCTCTCAGAGCTTCAGTTCTCAGAACCATAGAGAGGGTTCAGTCACATTCACCACATGGGGTTGTTGTCAGGGAGAGCAGGGGAGTGAGGCTATCTTCACCACCGTTTTCAAAAATGCAGCCCCCAACCCTACCCCTCACCCCCCTAACCCCCACACTCTGCTCTCTGTCTTTATCCTTTGACTGGTTTGCCTGCAGACCACTTCAATGCTTAGGTATATTTTACGTATTTATGGTCCCCTCACCCAACTACAGAGTAAGCTCCAAGAGGGCAGGAATTTTTGGCTGTCTTCCCCCCCTCCCCCATTTCTTTGTGGTGCTTAGAATAGTGCCTGCACATAGTAGGTTCTCAATAAATATTTGTTAACTGATTGAATGAATTGCCTGGCATATGGCAAAGTAATCAGCAAATAGTAGCTTTTATTATGATTAAGAATATTCATTCATTCATTCATTCAATCAATCATTCATTCAGCATCCACTGCATTTGCCAAGCTCTGTGTGTGGCTCAGAGGATCCTGAGAAGCAGCATGGTGTCTGTCCTGGGCAGCTCTTTGTCTGATGGAGTTAAATGGAGTAATGCATCTCCATAGGACTGCATAAGAGCCATTCCCACTCTGGGCTCCATTTTCCCATTCACCCCCCTTGGGTGGGAGCTTGGGAGGGTCTGGGTCAGATTACCTACCCCTAAGGCCTCCAGCTCCTCCCTCCTGTCCCCAGTCGTGCCCATGAACGTGAGCTGCTCCCGCATGGACTTCCAGATCCTGATCTCCACGCAGGCGCTGGCCCCACTGGGGCGGACCCAGGTCTACCTGGGCAGCCGGCGCTGTGCTGCGCAGGAAGTCGGCAGCACCTTCCGGATCCAGGCCCGCTTTGACACCTGCGGCACTGAGTCTCAGGTAGGGGCTGGGGAGAGGAGGGCAGACGTGAAGGAGGGGCCCTGAAAGGCACCTGCCATTCCTGAGAATTCACCTTCTCTTCCTGGCTCTGGTGACTACACAAGTCTTGATACAAAATTCAGCCCCTCTTGGCTTTACCTCAGAGAAGTTGCTCAGTGTAGACACAACAAAGGACTCAAGGGAGACAGAGAAGGAGGGCCCCCTGCACAGCCTGGCCCCACCCAAAGCCCCTAGTGGAGGCTCCTCCCACAAGGCCCTATGGTCTGAGCATCTCTGGAGGCCTTCGTGCTCTCGCCCCTCCTCCCAGGGCCACCCAGTCCTCACCCCTTCAAAACGAAGCGCTATGGGAGCCCTGCTGCCTCCTGCCCACTCCTCCCCCAGCCTTGTGGTCCAGATCCGCCCCTGGGCTCCGCAAAACAAAAGGGCCCTTCAAGTAACAGGATCCACCTCCCTCCAAAGGCAGTGAGGCTTGCAAGTACATTTTTTCTACTATCCTTGTATTTCGGAAACCTTAAACCCAGGCTTGGGCCCTCAGAGTCGCTGAGCAGTGCCCCAGGCACCCTGGGTGTTTGTGTTCTCAGGGACAGGTTAGGCAGGGGAAAGGGGAGAAGGAACAGTGGCCTCCATCAGGGCGGCCGCCCTGTCTTGGTATCTGGAGATTTGCCAGACTGGCCTGGCAGAAATCACATGCTTTCCAGCAAACTGTACTCCCCACCCCCAACATTAGCCAGATATATGCCTCTGGGCCCTCCAGCCCACCCCTCTGCTTCCCCAGCCTCCTGGCAGCCACTGTCCTTTTGACCTGAGAGGAAGAGAAGAGGGGGTCAGTCTTGGCTGCTGAGATAATCTGCCCGGACCCCTACTCCATGCCCTCTAAACCCCCCAGGGATTCTCTTTGGGGCAGAATCATGTTCCATAGGGTCATGAAATGATGAAGACAGGGAATGTTAGAAACAGGGAATCGTGTAATCTGGAAGGAAGAACTCACACACACTCAGTCTCGAGTCTTGGAACCACCACCAGAACTTGGAACCACAGAATCGTACAATCTTGGAGTCAGTATCATGGAAACACAGAAGGGGAGAACCTTAGACTCATGGATTCTTAGTGTAATGCTTTTAGGTCTTAGACCCAAGAGAACCAGTCTCTGCACGAGTGGCTTTCAAAGGTGCTTGGCTCAAAGGGCTAAAAGCAATGGCAGCCTCTCCGTGCATCTCAGAAGACATCACAGACTTGATTTCTTAACTGTAGCATCTCTTGTGGCCTTTCTTTCCTCCTCAAGCCTCTCACTCACCAAAACTTTCCTGTTCCCCATTTTATAATTCTTTTCTCCCTTATTATATAGATTCACTTCAGCCCTTTGACTGGGTCCCTTTCCACTCTCAGGTCCTTTTTCCCGCCCAGTGTCCCGATTCTACGTTACAAAGATCCTGGGTGCCATCCTCTTCAGAGGTGTGGTGGCTGACAGGCCGAGGGCACAAATGCCAAGGCTCCTTGGGGACATGGATTCAGAGCCTTTGGAAACCCAGAGTTGGGAGAGACCCTCGAGGTCACCTGGCCTATAAAACGCCCTCCTCTGAAGTGTCCAGTGACAGCAGGTTCTAGAACTGCTCGCTGCGTTTTAGGCAGCTTTGATTTCAGAAGCCTCATCTCAGAGGGGCCACCACTGGGCAGGGACAGTTGGGCAACCTGAGGAGCGCATGGCTGCTGCAGATCTGAGGTGGGTGGGGAGAGTAGCCCTGTCTCACGGCAGCCCCCCAACCCCTGCTCCAAACCACGTCAGTCTGCCCATGTAGATACTGCCCCATTCGCCGCCGGAACACCTCCCGTCTCAGGGTGGGGAGGGCAGCATTGTGCCAAACCTCACATCTTATTTCTCAATGGCT